TGTGGTCCTCTCATGTAGGGAATATTAGAAGCTACCTTCGTCCTTAATTTTTAGACTTACAACTTTAGATTTTTAAACTAGGCCCCCAAATCAAATCAGGAGTGGTGTTTACTACTCATTAGTGGTGTAGAGCTTTTGTAGCTCTACATTTTGAACGCCTTTTAACAGACAGCACTATAAGCTTGGTCTGCCTTAGCCTATGTGAGGCTGAACTGGTCTCTTTTTGAGTTCTCTGTTGTTTCTGCCAGGCCGTTCACGTGGAAGACCACAACGTTTAGACTTTTAGAAATAGCTGATCCAGGGTTTGGAACCCAGACAGACATTTTCGAGTGCTGCATTTTCCAAGTAGACTTGAAAAAGTCCAGTTTTCCCAGTTACTGGGCCCTTGAGTGTGGTAGTGAGGTTTGAATAATGTCCATCACTTGGTCTTAACTCCGCTTCACAAATGAAAGGATAAACACCAGTACCAGGAGAACGGTGTGGATTCGCTGCACTCTCCTCTTTTCTTTGCCAAAGTAACTTTTCCCCAGTCCTTCTGTGGTGTGGCTGGACAACGTTATGCTGTGTCCTTGTTTGCTAGTCTGGTGTGCTCCCTGAACAGGACCCCTGGTCTTGGGCAACTGCTGCATACTCTGTGCAAAGCAAACAGTTTCTTGGCGGGTGGCTCCCAGTTACCTTGGCTTTCATGATTCTGACTAAAGAATGAAAGGTTGAATTGATGTTGAAACCGTGGTTGCAGCCTGCAGTCCAAATGCCTGCCGGGCCAGTGGTCGAGGCCTGCAGCCCAAAGGCGTCCGGATCCGGGAGACAGCGGACTTCAAGGTTGACACCAAAGCTGCTGGAAGTGGGGAGCTCAGCGTAACTGTGAAGGGTCCTAGTAAGTGCTCCATTCTTTCCCTACCTCTGGTGTAATTTTGGCTAACTTTGTAGCCATGGGATATAGATTTCACCCTACAGCCAGTTCTGATTGATTTGTCCCACAGAGCTATGTCATGGATTTGAGGCCATCTAGGTCCCATGAGGAAGGGAACAGTCGTTGATTAGTAATGTCTGATCTGGATGTGGCCAGAACAGTAGGTGGCTTGACAGCCTTACGTTAAGACTTCTGGGAGTAGAAAAACTAGTGATGTAAGGGATTTGGGGAAATGCTGTTGTTTGAAAAACCGGAAGTGGTCCATTTTTTATTTGAGGAAACCTAGGCTCAGAAAGGCANTGTCCCACAGAGCTATGTCATGGATTTGAGGCCATCTAGGTCCCATGAGGAAGGGAACAGTTGTTGATTAGTAATGTCTGATCTGGATGTGACCAGAACAGTAGGTGGCTTGACAGCCTTACGTTAAGACTTCTGGGAGTAGAAAAACTAGTGATGTAAGGGATTTGGGGAAATGCTATTGTTTGAAAAACCGGAAGTGGTCCATTTTTTATTTGAGGAAACCTAGGCTCAGAAAGGCAGCTTCTTGCCCAAGGTCACAGAGCTTGTAGGCATCTAAGCTGGAATTCAAGCACAGTCTCCAAAGCCAATGATTTTCCACTACAGGTTACATTTTATAGACTATGAAATTATGTCAAGTACTTAATTACTATGATCAGTGCCTACAGAAGAAGAATAAAATTCCCTAAGATTAAGTTTTCTTTGTAGATAAATGCCATTTGTGGAGGGACAGGTTACACCCTGCAACTCATTTTCACTCCTGCTTTTGGGGAAGGAGATAGAAGGGACCAATGTCTTCCTGGTTTGCAAGTTTTCCCCTACAACAGAGAAGCAGCTCAGCATTTCTAGTTGTAGGTAGCAACCCTTGGCAGTTTTATTCCCATGCCTTGTGGAATCTTGAGCTTCCTGTGCCAGGGTTGTTCTCACTGTCTGCGTTCCCAACTGGCTGGGGCAGGAATGTTCTGAGCTCCAGAAAGTTAATATTTAATTTCAGAGCACCAAGCTTGGGGATGGACTGTGCCCCGAGGGTAGCCAGGTTCTAGACTGCCCAGACCTGGAGCCAAGCTGCTGTGGGGCTGATCCCCCCCCCCCCAACTTGTTGCAACAGGAGTCAAGGAGGCATTTTTTCCTGACCTTGGGTACCTGTTTGACTCAACGGCTTTCCCAGCCAAACCTCAGGGCTCAACATAAAACAAGTTACTGCCTGATGGCTGGGTCTGGATTTTGTGGTGTAGCACCTAAAACCCGTCCGCTTGTAGATAGCTCACCAGGGCTTTCTTGCTTTCGCTGTCCAGCTTTAATTGAAAAAGATATGCTGGGACACTTAACCTGAAACTCATGCCAAATACTCATAAAAGTTCGCTCCCTCCCCAGTTTTTGTGAGGGGCTGAAGAGGATGACTATGATTGTTGGAAAGTATTGAGGTGTGACTGGATTTCTCTTTACATAGACCCAAGAGGGTCAGGACTCAGAACCCTTCATAGCTGAGAATGCTTGCTAAAGCCAGGTATCTGGGAGAGCTTCCATTTCCTCACTTTGAAACAGAAATGGATTTGTTTTTAGCCTTGGATTCATCTCCTGGGATTTGGGGGTCCCACACCCTGAGGTGGCCTGCCTACTTTTCATATGTAGCTTATATTTTGTGGGTGTTGCTGTCTTTCTGTTCTTGTCTTTTTGATTCTCATGCTGAGCCTAAGATTGTATTGGAAAGATTGTCTGCTTTCATCCCACAGAGGGTCTGGAAGAGCTGGTGAAGCAGAAAGGCTTTCTGGATGGGGTCTATGCCTTCGAGTATTACCCCAGCACCCCGGGGAAATACAGCATTGCCATCACATGGGGGGGACACCACATTCCAAAGAGGTAAGTCTCCAGCTGGAAATGGGTCTCTTCTGGAAGTGTGCTTGGCCCAGGGCAGACTCACGGGTAGACTTCTGGTTGAAGGGAGAAGAGAGGTCTGCTTTGTTGAAAACTTTTTTTTCAGAGCAGCACATAGACATTTGGCCTATTCTCAAAAGCAGCAGAAAGTTGCTGTGGTTTCAGCTGACTTCTTTAAATCAAATGCTGGCAGTTTGGGGCTGGTGGGAGGAGGCAGGGACACCACACCAGAAGGAGCAGTAATAGAGAGCAAATGGGTTGAGTGTCTATACATCTTCCATACACCGAGATTCTTTTTTTCAATGAATGCCTCTGTTCATGAATGCCACGGGGGCAGAATCTGCTGTGGTTTCTGTTAAAGGCATCCAGGCGAGTGCTGTCAGACTGCTGGATGCAGTCTGCAGCTTTGACTGTGGGCATTGCATTTGCCCCTGCCTTCCTGTGTTTCTGGCTCTCCTGGGAGCAACTTTAAACTGAATAAATTTAGTACATGCTGAGAAATATTTGGGTATTAGAGGGTTCTGAGTATCTAAGCATACTTTTTTTTGAAACCTCCCACACCAGAGTTAAAACACATTCATTCACGTGTGAGATAAGCCCTCTTCAACCTAGTTTTCTGGTTAAAGCATAATCAGGATATGGGGAAATGTGGGCTCTCTTACCTTCCAGTGCTCTCAGTCTGGGTAGCCCTGTACACAAAAGGTAAATGACCAGGAGGATAAAGCAAGGCAGAATGGCTCAAGTGCTAACTGGGTGGCCACCTGAACTCCCGAGGCAGCCACACTACATTATATTGTTGACGTAACAATGGCTGTAGGGGGGGCCTGTGTGGAGGAAGGGCTTGTCTGGATTTTGGGACTCCAGGTGAAAGGATCAAGCAATTGGGAAGAATATGGGAAAGAACTATAGTTTATGGCTGTAGCTAACCCCTTTTTTGCTTTTCTTTAATGCTTCTTCTATTTCTTTCCTTCTAGCCCCTTTGAAGTTCAAGTTGGCCCTGAAGCAGGCATGCAGAAAGTCCGTGCTTGGGGCCCTGGCCTCCATGGCGGAATTGTCGGGCGGTCAGCAGACTTCGTGGTGGAGTCCATTGGCTCTGAAGTGGGGTCTCTGGGTAAGTGGAGGAAGCTGACCAGCAGCTTCTGGGAGGTTGAGGATTACAGGGTGCCTGGGCATGGTGTCCAACTGGGTGTTGGGACCTCACCCAGCTTTACTACCCTTAGCTTCCTATCCACCCGAGGCTGCCTGACCACCCAAGGCCATCTCTGGATGCTGCTGTGGAATTGCAGTTTCCATTTTCCTCTTGCCGTTCTGATTGCCTGCTGCCTCTGGCACCAGCATTTGTTCATCCACTAGACCTGGAGGGCACAGGGGCCTTACGTGGTATTATGCCCAAAACAATGCTTGGAACGTAGTAGACACTTAGCAAATATTGTTGACCGACTCTTAATTTAGATGAATGATGAATGAATTTTGCTAAAATTTTGAAATTTGGAAAGTAAACAATATTCTTTGAAGAGGGAATAACTGAGAATATTTTAAATAGACATCTGGGGCCGAGCCCGTGGCGCACTCGGGAGAGTGCGGCGCTGGGAGCGCAGTAGCGCTCCTGCCGCGGGTTTGGATCCTATATGTAGGGATGACCGGTGCGCTCACAGCGCTCACTGGCTGAGCACGGTATGGCCAGTCTCAAAAAAAGGACAAAAAAAAAAATAAATTAAAAAAAAAAAAATAGACATCTGATGTATATATGATCATTTTTGATCAGGAGTCAGCAAACTTTTTCTGTAAAGGGCCAGATAACAAATATTTTCAACTTGTGGGCCATATGGTGTTTGTCACAATTATTTGACTCTGAGATTGTAGCCTGAAAGCAGCCATAGAAAATATGGAAATGAATGGGTGTGGTCATTTTCCAGTAAAACTTTATTACAAAAACAGGGAGTGGGCCAGATTTGGTCCTTGGGCTATAGTTTAATGACCCCTGTTTTAGGTAATAGCAATAAGCAAAAGAAGGAAAAGTAAGAAAGCACATATAATTCTCCTTTCTAGAGAGATGATATCAATCATCTTGGTATAGCCTTCTAGTCTAGAGATAACATTAAACCTTTTGGTATATCCTTCGAGACTTTTCCTGTACATACACATACAAATGTTGACTTGCCACATAAAATATCTTGGGAAAGTCTTTATGAATGAGATAAATATAGGGTATGCCTTCATTTTTCATGGCTTCAGTGGAATTCCATTGTATGGATGTGTCTATTGTTAGGTTCTCTAGCTATTTCCAGGGTTTTGCTATAAAAACAATGCCGAGTTCATATCCTTGGTTATTTCCTTCAGATAAAATCCCAGAAGTGGATTTGGTGGGGCAGAGAGTAGGTGTCAGATTAAGGCTTTTGGCATATGTTGTCATATTGCCAACAAAAAGGTCAGCCTGGTGACCCTCCCCATTAGGTGATGTGAAAGAAGCTAAATAATCCACCTCTTCCATCTCTAGTGAAGACCCAGTGAACTTGGGTTTATGGAAAAGCACACAAACATTTTTCAATCTTCTGGCTAATACCTGGCTTTTAGGGAGGCAGTGGGAGTGTGCTGACAGTAATGTAGTGATACAGAATAGGTACTTTCCATCATGTAACGGGGAGACCCGTCCACTCCATCCCCCAGGGTTTGCCATTGAAGGCCCCTCCCAGGCGAAGATCGAGTATGACGACCAGAATGATGGATCATGTGATGTTAAATACTGGCCCAAGGAGCCCGGCGAATACGCCGTCCACATCATGTGTGACGATGAAGACATCAGGGACAGCCCATACATGGCCTTCATCCACCCGGCTACAGGAGACTACAACCCAGATCTGGTGAATCAGCTTGTCTTGTTTTTGTCCTCTCCTCTCTGGCTTCTGACCCTTCTCCCACACTGTGCTTGGAGAGTTGCTTTAAGCAGCGTGTTGAGAGATGGCAGACAGGAACCCTTTAGATCTTAGGAAGGAACTGGGCCTTAATTTGAATCCTGGTAGTACCACTTAGCACTTTCATAGTGTTGAGCAAGTAATTTATGTCTCTGACTCTTGGTATCTTCCTCTATAAAATGCAAATGACAGTCATGTTTGTTTCCTGTAGCTTCTGGGATGATTCAAGGAGGTAGCATGCATAAAGGTAGCCTTTAGCACAGTGCCTGACCATGTAGGGGGCTCCATAAACTGCTATTTCCTTGCAACACAGAGCATCATATTTCAGTCTTGCCACTTTCTGTAGTTATTTCAAGATGCTCCATAGGTAAAGGTTGTTTGTTCCCCCAGCTCCCTTTCTCTTAAATTTGGAGCAGTGTTTCCAAGAGCTTCCTCCCAATCCCATAGGAGATTGATAAGCATCAAGTCTAGGCCAGCCTAGCTGACAGGAGGTGGCCACCACTCTCCCATGTGTGCTGCTGTTGGCCCACTTTGGCAGCTGTTCATAAGCTGGCGTCATTCGGGCTGGTAGCTACCCCTGTTTGGCCATAGTCCTTTGCTTTCTGGGGGCTACAAACTTTTGAATGCTGTCTGTGGCAGATGTCTGAGTCCCCTCAAAGTGGGAACATTGAAACTGGTCATGGCATGGCTGGGGATGCCTGCTCCAGTTACTAGAAATTCTCTGTGTCAGCTCAGAATAAGTCAGGGAGCTTGGGTTAGTTTGAGCCTGGTTTTAGAGGTTTTTCTCCCTCAAGAGAGGTTAAGATACTATTTATTTTTAAGTTACGGCCTACTTTTTTTTTTTTTGCGGCTGGCCAGTACAGGGATCGAACCCTGGACCTTGGTATCAGCACCACACTCTAACCACCTGAGCTAACCAGCCAGCCCCAAGTTACAGCGTTTTAATTCCCGTAACCATCTTGTTAGGTGGATACTGTAAAACCAGATGCAAGTCATTTTGTCCTTCCCCTATTCCCTGGTTACCAGTCTGCATATAGGGGTTTGGTTGGGGCTTTACACAAAAAGATAATTATTATTGGCCCTTTGCCCCAGGTCCAAGCATATGGGCCAGGTTTGGAGAAATCTGGGTGCATTGTCAACATCCCAGCCGAATTCACCGTGGATCCTAAGGATGCTGGAAAAGCTCCCTTAAAGATATTTGCTCAGGTAAATTTCTGGGGGCCCTGCACAGTTAATTGTCAAGTGACAAGATCTGTCAGTGTAATGGCAAATTGCTCAGTCCATCTGATCTTCAGTTTCCTCACCCACCCATTGGGAATAAGAATATTATGTCATGGGGTTATGTGAGGATTAAATGAGACTAACACATAAAGAAGAGTGTTTTTATCGTCTTTATGATTCTGTGGAAATAAGGCTTGACTGTTTCAAATTACTCCGTAATATCTTTTGGTGTGGCTGAAGCTGCTTAGGCCCAATGGGAGATTTGTATACAAGATTTTAAAAATATGTTTATCTAATTTAATTGAATTTGGCCAACGGACTTAAATGTGGGAATTGAAATTGTGAAGCATTGTGTGGCCATGGTTTTATTTTTAGGCCATTTTCTCTTCATAATTAAAAATAAATAAACGCATGTGATATTTTCTTACCTGTTGTCATTGTATTGTGAGAACTTGGCAAATGATAATTGTTCCTGAAGTTTTGTTGGATGAGCAGGTGGTGACTCTCGTGTCTGGGGAGGCCACGGTGGCCCTGTTGGATACAAACAATGTGAGGGCCACCTCTGTTCCTCACCCTGGCTCTTTTGCAGGATGGGGAAGGTCAGCCCATTGACATCCAGATGAAGAGCCGGATGGATGGCACGTACTCCTGCTCATACACCCCAGTTAAAGCCATCAAGCACACCATTGCTGTGGTCTGGGGAGGTGTGAACATCCCACACAGCCCCTACAGGGTAGGTTGTGAGCTGGAATCCTGGCTGTTGCATGAAAAAGCCTAGTCGTGCTCTGTGCCTGATGGCCACTGTATGGAAAGAACCCATGCTTGGTGGGCCTTGAAAGATGGAGTGACCTGAAGGTCGGGGTGCTCTAGACCACCCAAAAGTATTTCTAACCAAACTATTTCTAACAATGTTTCCTAACAATGTTTTACTGGGTCCAAGTGGAGGAGAACTTGATAACTTTATTCGTGTCTTCTGTAGGTCAACATTGGGCAAGGTAGCCATCCCCAGAAGGTCAAAGTGTTTGGTCCAGGTGTGGAGAGAAGTGGTCTGAAAGCAAATGAGCCTACTCACTTCACAGTGGACTGTACCGAGGCTGGGGAAGGTAAGAGAGGCCTTCACGTAAGCTGATGATTATTGCTCCCTGGGGGGGAGTTCTTTTCATTACATTTCGAGGGCAGTACACTTTGAACCAGAAAGTAATCCATCTGAATAGTTCATCTGTGGAGGCTCCGTGTCAGTTCCTCGGTGATATCTTTGCTGATCTTTTAGCCTCTTTCCAAAACCCTGACTTACCACCGTCCCTTTCTCAGTTTTCTTACTAGAAGCTTCCCAGTTGCTTTTTTGGGGTGTTAGTCTGAGCAGGAAGTGATGGCACAGGACATGCTGTTTCTTGTAAGCTGGTGATAATAAGCTGGTCTGTTCCAGGTGACGTCAGCGTTGGCATTAAGTGTGATGCCCGGGTGTTAAGTGAGGATGAGGAAGATGTGGATTTTGACATTATTCACAACGCCAACGACACGTTTACAGTCAAATATGTGCCTCCTGCCGCCGGGCGATACACTATCAAAGTTCTCTTTGCATCTCAGGTGTGTGTTGGGGCCTGGGTTCATTCTGGCCACCTGTGTGCACATCTCTTTTTTTTTAGTGACAGGGAAGGTGTCTTGAGAACTCTGCTCAATATTTTTCTCTCTGGTTCCTTAAAACCAAGAGGGAAAAATACCCAGAACTAAATTTTTAATACTTCCTAACAGGAGCAAGGCAGTGTATTCAGTGGTTAAAAGCAGGACTCTGGAAAAAGATTTGTTATAAATATATAACAGATTTGTTATAAACTTCTATCAAGTTTTTGATTAAAATGTAATTATCTTCTAGACGTGTTCTACTTTGACCTCTTTGAGGTAATGACTTTGGCCTCCACCCTTAACTTTTATAGGGAGAGGCATTTTGAAGTTTCACATGTGTGATAGTGCAGGTGGACTGAGCAGTCCCCTAAAACAGGGAATTTTGAAATACTGTTTAAAATTAACCTTATGTAAGCATGAGAACCTCAGGAGAATGTTCTATGCCTAAAGGTATTGGTCTTGAGTTGACTTCATCTAATACCCTATTCTGCCTTTGTGCTGACAGTCTACAACATTCTTTTTGGAGAATTATAATCATTCTGTTTCTGATTATTTCCTTATATTCCCCAAACCCCAGCTCTCAGCTGTTCCTGGGGGACGTTTTCTTCCCCCTGACCCCATTTATCATTGTTATTTTTGGTTTTATTCTTGGTAGTATTTTTTCTTCCTAAGTACTCAGCATT